TGCTTGAAGGGTAAGGAAGAGTTGAATATGACTGAAGGATGAGATAGAAGGATAATAAGATAATTAAACATAATCGTGTTCATAAGAGAAGAGCATGTTTCAAGGGGAATACTAAGTTTCAGTGCAGACACCTAAGCTCATGATGCCCATGGAGCAATAAAATTTATTTGCTTTGTAGGCAGGCAGGGGGCCTGAAAGGCAAGACAAATTAGATGGTATCAATTTTTGATGCATCCATAGGAAAGAAAAAGAAGCTAAAGAAATAAATGAGATAACCAAAAATATGGAGCAAGTTGACATCCTGAACAGAGCTTTGGATATACCTTTACTTAGAAGCTGGAGGCACAACACGAGGCAGTGTAGAAGATTGGGGAGGAACAAAACCTGAAACAAGTTGTGTCACAAAAGACAAAAGAGGAAATACTCTAAGAAGAAATCACAGAGTACCAAATGTTCCAGAAAGGCTAGCAGGATTCACTCATTTGTTTCATCAATGGCATTATCTATATACCTATGAAGCTCTGTGCTAGGATTTAGGAAGGAATTCACTGAGGTGACTAGTGGAGTTTTCTTTTGWAGTCATCAGATGATATCTCATCGTGCTTTTATGTGGGTCATAATAGTGATATTATGATTATTTGTTTCCATCTTTAATCCACTCATTATAGTGGATTAAAGATGGAAACAAATGTGGAATAAAGAGAGCCAGACTGCATAGAATAATCTGAGATAGTTGAGTGGAAATTATAAAGAAAAAGAGAGCCAATGGAGGTCCTTTGTCAAATAGTCTAATCAGGCTTAATATTATTAGGCCTAAATATTAGAGGTAGAATTAGTTATTTTGCTCTTGTAGCATATCCCATGTGAACAATTTTGACTCACTGACTTAAGCTACATGTCATAATGGACACAGGATCTTAAGGTACGGATATTTTTCCCCCCTCTTGGTACCTTACACTAGCCTAAAATCAAGTGTATATATGTGAGGAGTTTTAGGTGTAGAACACAATGTAAAGACTGAGAAAATTTCAAATAACATGACAAGAATTTCTAGCAACATCCAATAACAAAATGTATTGCAGACCAGATATACTGTGAATTCAGAGAAAACATAACCACGAATGAAAAAAATCTTTCAGTGCACAGGAGGAAATAAGTGGAGGTCACAAAATAAGACGAGCATTAGGACTTTCATGAGGGAAAGACTAGAGGCGGACTTCACTCAGAATCCCGTCTCTTCTCCTGTAAAGTGGAAATAGTGCCGCCTGCCTTTCTTTCTTCAAACCTAGAAAAGGGCCTCAAAAATGAATCTACCCTTCCACGTCCTTACCGGAAGCCTTCTTTTAGTTCAGAGATGAAAGGTACTCATGCTTCACCACTGTAGCATCAGTCATATGAGAACAAAGCTATCAAAAATGCACAAAACCTGTTGCTAGAAAGTAAGAACCTTGGAAACCTCTGCCCTGTGACAAATAACAGGAATGGAACAGGAAAAGAGACAGATGCCCGCATGGGGACTGTCACCAGCAATCTCAGTGCTCCACTGAGGTAAGGAGAGAAGCAGTTCCTACTTTGACCTAGTCAGAGCCTGGATTCTAAAGTGAGGATCTAGATACTGGAACTGAACAGTCATACACATGTCAACTTTTAACCCACAGGGCCTTTTGGTCTACAGGTTTACAGATTAAATTGATTTGATGAATTTCCTTTTGTTTGTTTATTAAATCCATAATTTTATAGAATTTTGAGAGACCAACCTAAAGTTCATCCAAAGAGCTCGTATACATAATACAGTGAAGATGTTGCATGAGGAGRGTTAGTACTTACAATATGTCACATATCAATTTAATGAATATGACAGAATGTGAGTCTTTATATACTGTTCAAAGCCATAAGAAAATGGGGTAATGTTGATTGTTTCCATTTTCAGCCTTTTCGACAAATTAGTGGATAGATTCATGTTTTCAATAAATATTTCCACATCTAAACCCTGCAACTTGAATAATTTCTGTCCCTTCCCTTCTTCCATACATTCACATAGTCATCCATATTTGGGTGATGTTTTCTTAGTCTCAAGTAAATCAATGTTTTACTACTTATAACACTATAAGAAAATAACAGCAATTTAAATTTCATAGTCCTCTTATGGGACATTCATAAAACATGATTTCACTCATTCTTTAAGAAAATTCTGTGATATTTTAACTTAACACATCAGAAAATCAAAGCTGTGTATGGATGATGATCTGATAATCCTCCTGTGTTAAACTGTGAGTTACTGATGGAATTTTAACTTAAACCTGTCTCCATGCACTGCATTGCCTAATGCATTCTAATCTAAATACCAATTTAAATGCATGATTTTCTTAGAGAATCTAGCTTAGAGGTTAATACATTTTGATGCACCATTTTAATTTATCAAATAGCCATGTTTTGCCTTTGATTTTCATTAATAAAAATTAAATTATAGACATGCTGTATTTTATTTATTCTTAAAGAATTGTTATTGTAAAAACTCCTCTCTACCAACTTTGTTTTTAATATGAAAAGAATGACATTTAAAATTATCACATGTATTTCACATATATAATTTATGATTTGCAGAATATCAAGATACTTTGCAATTTTTTTTTCTACCTATTACTCTGCTTTGATGATTCCTATGGGCTTTTCAAGCTACACAGATATATATTTGTTTATTAAATCCATAATTTAATAAACAAATTACATCATTGCCATGACCCACACAGCAACAAAGGATCTTGAGTAGGGGTGACTGGAGATGGACAAAAATACGAAGACAAAAATACCAAAGGTATTTTCAAGCTAAGCTGAGGCCAGGTGGGACACTGCATTCTGATGAAGGAACAATGTCCCAGAACTAGTTCTGCAATTTTATTGTATAGGGTCTCATAATCAGGAAGATAAACTATTTAGGAGAATTGCTTATGAGTTATAAGAGGCTTCTTTGTGCACTAAAAAGTTACAGAACTAGAGACAATTTTGCAGCTATCCTACTGTTGCAGTGCTAGGAACATTCTGCTGCACTCAGGAAACACATTGTCCTGGGACATCTGATCACTGTTAGTGTCAGAGCCAAGAGTCAAGGCTGATAACATCCTTGCCTTTGGCAAGAAATGTTTCCCAGGTTTGGCTTTTGTTGACACCCCAGGATCAGCTGATGACCAGGGCTCATCTGCTCTCCACACATCATATCCACAAATTAACCTTTGTTAATAAGGTCAAAATAGTCCATTTAATAAGCCAATAATTAAGATGGAATACTAAGTACCATTCAACTAATCCATGAGAAGAAAGGAAAAAAGAAAAAATGTAAATGAAGAACGGGGCTGACATTTTCTTCATATACCATATAGTAAAGATAAATATACCACACAGTTTCAAAGTAAATTAAAATTGAATTTCTGTACATTTAGGTTACCTTTCTTATTTTTTAAAAACCTAATAATCCTGAGAAGTTATCTGTTCTAAATCTTAATTTATGATTTGCAGAGTATCAAGATACTTTGCAAAAATTTTTATTCTACCAACTACCATGATGTTTGAAATCCCTGGTTTGATGATTCCTGTGGGCTTTTGAAGCTACACAGAGACATATGGACATGTGTATAGCTGGAGCTAGAGGTATAAATAAGTATGGTATGGAATATAGATATAGATATGTATTGCATTCCTGAAAAAAAATTGCTTCAAATAGCTTATCAGACAAAGGCCCAAGGGGGTTCAATGGATAAACTCAGGGAGGTGTGTATGTATGTTTGTATGGGGGAGTTTTGTGTTAGGAAATTGAAAAAAGTCTAGAAAATGCTGTGCCTTAAAGGACATACCTCAGGACTCAGGCAACAATATGTACTCAGGAAAAGCCTGAATAACAGATGGAGAGTGACAGTCCTGGAACAAGGTCATGAAAGAGGAAAGAAAAGGTGTCAGAATTGGAAGTACATCTGCTGCTTCCAATGTGTGAAACACCCAGGATACATTAATTTAATTTTAGCTATTCAGTAGATCGTGTCCAAGAATTAAAGGAGAATTTGAAAAGTAAAGCTCAACCTTGAACTCATTTTTCTTCACTGGGTTCCAATTATGTTTCTAATTGTACTCTCTGCTCTTAGATGATGGATACACATGTTCATCACTGAATTCATGGAGTTTTGATACTTATAACTGCCAAAAATAACTGAATAAATAATTCTTGTTCTGAGGAAGAAATCTTTTAAATTTGGAAGCCAACTCCAAAGTGTTAGCTATTGAGTGAAAATATCAGTGAATAACAGAGTCTATTAGTTAATTTTAAAATGTTGTCTGTTGTATTAACTGCAAAAAAAAAAAAATCGCCATGTATTCAGTATGTGAAAAGTACTTAGTCTCCTCTAAGTTCACACAAGGTCAGGAATGAAGTTAAATACACCAGCATTGTGCTATACTTTTGCCTTATTTCTCTGCTGTCTCCTTTATCTCTTGTGCTTCCTGAAGTGCATGAGGTAAAGATTCATACATTGATTTCCTGTGAAAGGGGCTTTTTTCCCCTCTTCTTTAATATAATCCCTTTATGGTTAAAAACAACCCACAATGAGGGAAAGAGTAAAATTACAAGCAAAGTGTTGCAAACTGGTGAGTGCCCATACATCTTTCTTATGAATGATGACTTATACCACCTATATGGACAGCCAATCCCAGTGAATACATTAAATTCATTGTTCAAAGAAGCAAATGAACTATTTAAATTTCAAAATATYGATCCAAAGGAAATGTTTCTAATTAATTTGCAAGCAGGTTAGTCAATCAAAGTAGTCTGTGTCCTACATTAGGACATAAGGGTAGGTTATAATAAAGGTCCCCCTAAAGTATAACAATTAACTAACTTGTGCTTAGCATTCCACTGACTTATTGAAGGGAAAACTATGGATGCTACAAGAAGGAAGAAGGTGGGAAGGATGGAGGACTGGACATTAATCACATTGTGTTTGTTATTCCTCCAGGGTCCCACGATTCCTTCAGCTTCTACATTGATGAAGCCTCTCCAGTAGGCCCTGAACAGCCAGAAACTGTCCAGAATTTTGTCTCTGTGTTTGGAACTGTAGCCAAGAAGCTGATGCGGAAATGGCTAGCCACTCAGACAATGAATTTCACTGGTCAGCTAGGAGCTGGAATCCGTTATTTTGATCTTCGAATTTCCACCAAGCCCAGAGACCCCGATAACGAACTCTACTTCGCTCATGGTTTGTTCAGTGCCAAAGTCAACGAGGGCCTTGAAGAGATCAATGCGTTCCTCACGGATCACCATAAGGAGGTGGTATTCTTGGACTTCAACCATTTTTATGGGATGCAGAAATATCACCATGAAAAACTGGTCCAAATGCTGAAAGATATCTATGGAAACAAAATGTGCCCAGCAATTTTTGCCCAGGAAGTTAGTTTAAAGTACCTGTGGGAGAAGGACTACCAAGTGCTGGTCTTCTACCACAGTCCAGTCGCTCTGGAAGTGCCCTTTCTCTGGCCTGGGCAGATGATGCCAGCACCCTGGGCCAACACCACAGACCCTGAAAAACTGATCCAGTTTCTTCAGGCGTCCATCACTGAGAGAAGAAAGAAGGGCTCATTTTTTATTTCTCAGGTGGTGCTAACCCCCAAAGCTAGCACTGTGGTCAAAGGTGTGGCAAGTGGCCTCAGAGAAACAATCACAGAGAGGTGAGTGTCCTCAGGGTACCCAGGGGAAATGCAAATAACTTCAGTCAGATCCATAGAGTCGCAAAGCGGTCAAGCAACAATCCTCCATACTGACAAGTATCCATTTTCTGGGGCTGCCATAACCAAGGGCCACAAATTGGGTATCTTAAAACAATCGAAATGCATTTTCTCACAGATATGGAAGCGAGAAGTCTGAAATCAAGGCGTCAGCAGAGTGGGTTGCTTCTGGGGACTCTGAGGGAAGATCTTTGCCTCTCTCCTATTTTCTGGTGATGGCTGATAATTCTTAGAGTGGTTTTCAGCTGCATCTCTCCTGATCTTCCTCCTTCTTCCCAAGGTCTTCTCCCCATGTGCCTCTGTCTTCTTTTCTTATAGGGACAACAGTCATGTTGCATCAAAACTCACCTTCATGACCTCATCTTAGCTAAACTACTTCTGAACATACCCTGTTTCCAAATGAAGTCACACTCAGAGGTACTGAGGTGGACTTGAAGATGCTTCTTGTAGGAYACAGATCAACCCCTAACACCATGTATTTTTGACTCTATCTCTAGTTCTCTTCTCACAGCATTCCTTTCACTTTGTCTAGTTCTTTATAGATTTCAAAGCCATTTTTCTACTGACTATAGAGTCTTTTAATGTATCAAATGTCATTTGACCTGCTAAACAATCCTAGGAAGTAAATACTGTCTTACAGATTTAAGAAAATGAGGTTCCTAAAAAATGCAATGTTTTGTCCTTTGGACAGTAAATGATGAAACAGATACTTAAGACACCATTCTCAAATCACATGCTAGGCCCTCTCCATTGCTATCCTGCCCCATAACAAAGGCTTACTCTGCAGAGAGGGAGTGGACCTTCCATCTGTCAAGCCCAGCCATGTAGAGTGGTGGGTACCTGCAAGGTACGATTTGAAAAATCATCAAAGATCTCTGTAGCTCTTTCCTATGAGTGTGACAGAACATGCAGAATCACCCATATTATTTATTCTTTTGAATTACCCATGCTAAACAATGTAAACAGTACCTGAAAAGAGAATACAAACCCTTGTCAGATATCTTATTTWTATGTTTAATTAATAATTCTAATTAAGATAAAGAGACAAAGGATTAAGGTTTTGCTTTGGTTCAAGGACAAGAAAACAAGGAGAAAGATTTTGARATGAAAATAGGATGGGTGACCTTCCAGAGCAGAATACAAGGTGGGGGTGATAGAAGAAGCTTATAACAGCAGGCAACAATACACTTGCCACAGATCTCTTAGTCAGGCTACAGTGAACGTCATCCTGCGAGCAATGGAAGCTGGATAATGATGTTTAGCAGCTGAATGACCAAATCTGAATTTTTAGATTATAATTAATGCAACCTGAAAATAGATGGAGAGAGTGGGACATTGAGAGGGGCTTAGAACTGTTTTAGCAAGAGGGAGTGCAAGCTAAACTAAGGAAGAAAGAAAACTTAGAATGTGATAAGTGAGCCATGAAAATTTAGACTAATTAGTGAATTAGCAAAATGGTATGAATGACAGAAAGAGGTAAGAATGTAGTTTCTGATTGAAAATTAAGGTGGGTGAAGGAAATATTCACAGGGATAGGAAACCAAGACACAAGAACTTGGAAAGGAAGCAGAGAAAATAGAATTAGAGCCATGCTTAGTTTCAAGTGCCAGTAAGGAATGCAAGTATATATGTAGACAATCGATCATTAGGATTATAATCCCAATGGCCAACTCATGGGGATTATTGGCATTATGGGGTAATGAGAGCCCCAAATCACTGAAATGGAAGGTTCTTTCTTGCATAGCTTCCTTTCATTATTCAGATATCAGCTGGGATCTCCTTTTTTTCTTGAAATTTAAATAAGTCTGCCTATCCTATGTTGTACACCAATTTCAAGCACAAGGATTTCCCAGTGATTTCTGCTATTGTCTAGATTATGCTCTGATGGTTCTAACCCTCACTTCTGCTGGAGAGCATCATTCGATGGGTCAATTCCCCCATTTGATCTGCGTCTGTTCCATTCTGAGACATGAAACGTGCCTCACGCTTCAACATGTTCCCACAATGGATTTAACCCTTTCCTGGAGATCTAAGGAGATCAGGGAAGTTTTATAATGACTGTAATGTACAGAATTTAGAATTAAATTTTTAGATTTTTCTGTAATCACAAACCTTCTGTCCTGGGATATCTTCCCTGGTGACATATACACCCCTTTGCCCCTCAGCCTCACTCCTCTGAYTAGATCCCTTCTTCTTCCTTTTTCTTTTCTTTTTTTTTTTCTCATTACTTTTCTCCCCCTACATTCAGATTGCTTTGGGGATATCCTTTTCCAGGTTATTGTACCTAACCATAGTCACTTCTCTCCAGCCTTCTTATGCCCAAACCCAGTTAGTTCCATCAAAACAAGAAGGCTTTTTTAAATTTACTAAAGGCACTCTACAAACATTCATTGTTCTGGTAATTAACAACTTATCCCCTCTCTCACCAGATTAGAAAATGAGGGAGATACGTACACATGAATGTGTTACTGTTAGCCTTAGCCCTTAGCGTCTCCAAAATTTTGAGGAGTTCCTGGGGACCCAGTAAAGGTAGAGAAGAGGAAGCAAGAGCTGGGAGAGGAACTGGTTCCAACTCGTTCCATTCTTTCTATTCGAATGCAAGAAGTCTTACTTTTAACTTTTACATATTTTGCATGACACAAGTCTTCCCATGGTCTCTTACAGCTGAACCATACCTCTCTACTAAGGAAAGCACTTTCTAGTACAACAAGCCCACTTTAGCCCAAATGGGTTTCAGCCAGTTTCTCCCAGGGTAGGAACCAGCCTTTGAAGAAGCCAAGAAGAATTCACTCAGGGAATAAATGGTTTTCCTTTTATGGCACCTGGTAGACTTTGGGAGCTTTCAAGCCACGGTTAAACTTCTTTTTGGCTATTCATGCACTAGTATACAATACTAAAGTGGGGATTTGTGGAGGAGAAAGTCAAAATAAGTTAAGAAAATGTGGAAAATTGTATTTTACACAATTCTCCCCAAAAGATTCCCAATGCACATTAGCATATAAAAGGCACTAACAAGTCTTTTAGTGAAGAAGCCTATTTAAATTTAACTAATACAGTGTTTTCCATGCACCTTTTCTTTCAGATAACACTTATTAACAGCCCATGGAATTAATTTTGAAAAACTGTCCTCAGCCATCTGTTCTAGTTCAGAACTTGCTTCTGGCTCTATCTATCTGCAGTGGTAAAGCTGTAATATTGAAAAGAGAAAGAGAAGTGGCAAGGGTGGGGGTATTAAAAAGACCTAATAGGGGGCTGGGGATGTGGCTCAAGCAGTAACTCGCTCGCCTGGCATGTGCGGGGCGCTGGGTTCGATCCTCAGCACCACATAAAAATAAAATAAAGATGTTGTGTCCACCGAAAACTGAAAATAAATATTTAAAAATTCTCTCTCTCTCTTAAAAAAAACCTAGTAGGTAGAATCAATTTTTTTCCTCTTTGATATTATGCAAATTACTTGCTAATAATTTGCAAAAACATTGAACTTTGTCATTATATTTGTGCTATAGCTTTCTCCTTTGGAATTTAGTCTTATACACACTAGAAAGACAAACTTTTTAACCAAAGCTGTATTCTGAGTGTGGAGTTAATGGCCAAGGATTTTTATTTTATTGTCTTGTTTTGTTACTTTTTAAAAAAATTCCAGCCTTATGAATAAGCCTTTTAGACAAGGTCATTGTCAGCTATTGAATTGTGCCTTGCAAAGGCAATTTACTTAGCTCTGAAGAAACAGTGCAGGGACATTTGACTCCAGAGAATTCATTTCCTTTTTCTTCTTACCAAGTGAAGAGTCCTAAAACATACTCAAAAGTAGACTGATKGTGCCTCTGTCCTATGAGCTTTGTGCCAGAAACCTTCATTCAGAAAGTGGCATGTTGGCACCAAGAGATTATAATGAGCCCCCTTGTGCCATCTAACAAAGAATCACCAAGCAGTTTTGAGATCTCTAGGCCTTAAGTATTTTCATCTCCAAAATCCAGAGTTTGAACTAGATTCTGCATTTGACTAGCTAGTTTCTGTATAACTTTTCAAATCTTTTCTAATATTTGGGTTAACAAAAACCCTGAGCATATGCATTTAGAAAATACTCTTTGAAGTTGTGGGTGGCTTTCAGGGAAACTAAATCCAGCCTGAGTTTAGGTACTGTATCTTTCAATCTGGCCATTGGTGCCAAATACTGCAGATGTGTTTTCTACATTTTAGCAATGCCAAAAGACACAGATTTTTATTTCTTAAAGACCTATTTTTAATCTACTTTTCAAACACTAGTTTTCACACATTTCCCCCACAGAATTCACACGTTCTTAAAAAGAAGGTGTGCAACTTGTCATGTCTTTCCCTAATTTGTGGAAGTGTATTAATTAATAGATTTTTTTTTTAATTCCAGCTTAAAAAACTGCAGTCATATCGCCTGTCAGAATGTTTAGGAAGCAATGCATCTTTACAAGTAAATTGATGCAGAATTAAGTTGGATGATGTTTATACAGGCTAACAATTTAGATGATAATGACAATAATAATAATATTGTGATATTATTATTAGCAATTTTTAAGTGCTGTCAGATATAATACTATTTTATATGTATTCTTTGATTTAATATTCAGAAAAAGTAGGTACTATYGCTATCCATCTTTAAGATGAAGGAATTGAGCCTTAGAAGTGTTAGGCAATTTACCTGGATAACACCACTCAGGAAAGGTAGAACCATGGGGGTGGGATTTAAGTCAATGGTGCAGTGCATGCTTACCACACCCAATCCCCTGGGTTTAATCCCCAGTGCACGTGTACACATCCACATGAGGTGCATTTAGGATTTAAATTCAGGTTGTTCTGTTTGTTTATCCACCAAACAAACATGTTTAGAGTCATATTCTGTTTTAGACACTGTACTTCAAGTGTGTGACCTCAAATATGTACTCTTAAAACTATCACACCATCATATCTCT